CTTCCTCTAGGAAGCTTTCTAATTATATCAGTACCCTATTATAGTCTTACATAGCATTTTTCACTTTTACTTTAAAACACTTGTCACAGTTAAACCTTTACCTTTTGTGTCACTATTTTGTTAATATTTGTTTCCCCCACTGCACTGTATATTATAATAATACTAGAGGCCTGGTGCACAAAATTTGTGCATGGAGCGGGGGGGGGGGGGGGGCGCACAGAGGGGCACAAGTCCCTCAGCTGACCTTGCCCATTCTCACAATCCCGGACTACTGGCGCCTAACTGCTCACCTGCCTGCCTGCCCAATTGCCCCTAACCGCCTCTGCCTCTGCCCCGCTGCAGCAGCTTTATCTGGAATGACATATGGAAGGTCGTTTTGCTGTCCGGTCTAACATATTATGCTTTTATTGTTATAGATATAGATATAGATTGTTATAGATATAGATATAGATTGTTAATAGCAAATATTTGTAGTGGTATACTCTGTGTCAGACATTAAGTGCTTAGTCCTCAACAACTCTGTGAAGTAGATAATACTATTCATCCCACATTAGTGGCAAACATTTGTAGTCTATACTTTGTGTAGGCTTTTCTCTAAGTGCTTAATCCTCAAAACAATTCTATGAAGTTGGTATTATTATTATTAGTCCCATTTTACAGATATGGAAACTGAGCCATAAGGCATTTATTAACTTGCCCACAATTAGGGCCAGTAAGTAGTAGAGCTGGAATTTTAAACTAGTCTGTTTGGCTCCAACTTCTAAAAATCAACTTATTTTAATTAACTTAGTTAATTAGCAAGATTTACCTTCCATCTTTGAGGTTCTAAGGTCTGTTTTGAAATAATCACCTAATGTCTTATATGCTTAGTTAACCATTTCATATATTACATATTATTTGTTATTTTTAAAAAGTTTATCACTTAAAGTCAAAACATTGTTGAATACTTTTAAAAGATTTAAAACTGTGTATGGAGGTTAGTTTTTGGTATCATAAGAATTGTGGGATTCTAGCCTTTAACAGGTAGAGATCAGAGATGCTAAACATCCTCTAAATACATGGGGCAGTTCCAAAGAAGGAAGAATTATCCTACCCAAAGTGCCAGTCATAAGCCTATTGGGAAATATTAAAAAGATGGACCAGTCAGTATCTTTGGAAACATGAGTGGGGACAGAGAGTGAAGAGAACTGACATTTATTGAATGCCTTAATAACCTGTTTTGTCCTTTAACCTTTATAACAGTATTATGACATATTCTCTCTTTTACACAAATGAGAAACCTGAAACTCAGTGAGGTTAAGTAACTTGACCAAGGTCATAGAAGTGAGCTATAGGTGCTTTGTGGGACTTGGCGAGACAGAAGGAGCAGGGTAGTAATTCTCTTGGGACCTGACTGTTAGAATCCAAATGACCATCTTTCGTCTTCGGCATTCTATTTTTGGAGAAGGACAAGAGTCCTAAAAAGGAAGTGCTGTGTCCACTGTCTTCTGCTTTTAGATTGCTTTTGGTCTTATTTGAATACTTTCCAAAAGTATATGGTTTTATGACATATTTTAGCTATCTCATTGCTGTTATTTTTCCATTAAAAAAAAAAAAAAACACGGATGAAATTTCTTCTTTTAACCCTTCTTCACCCTCCACCCACACCATTTCTTTGCTCACTTTTGCAATAGTAGTTTCTTGATTCACTCTGAATCTTCGCCCATTCAGTCTTTTGTCCGACCATTCCCCCAAAACATTCTTCTCATTGGCCTCTGTTTTTCTAAATTCCATGGTTACTTATTAAATACTAGAGGCGTGGTGCACGAAATTCGTGCAAGGGTGTGGTCCCTGGGCCTGGCCAGAAAGCCAAGTGCAAATGTCTGGCATGGAAGGGCAAGTCCCAGCTGACCTCTGGGCTCTGGGCAGCACCTGGGCCCCTGGGCTTCCATGCACCCCCCTCCACCTGAGTCATCAGCCCCCGCCCAGCTCTCTCAGTGCCTGGGAGCTGGGCTTCTGCCCCAACCCTCCATCACTGTTTATCACTGTCTGCAGCATGATCAGCTGGGCAATTGGGCCTGCTCACACCCTCCTTGGCCTGGCGCTGCCTGCTCACCTGCTCCACCATCTGCCAGCACCATGTTGCCGACATCCGCCATGTTTTGCACTGCACCCTGGTGGTTAGTGTATATCATAGCGAGCGAGCTGTTGAACTCCTGATTGAGGGGACAATTTGCATATTAGGCTTTTATTATGTAGGCTTGAACATATTAGCAGTATTTAACATAATGGGTCATTCCTTCCTCCTTGATTTAAAGGTCTCTCCCAAATCTTAATGCCATTTGACGCTTTAAAAACGTCTAAAAGCATCAAATGGCATTAAGACTCGGAGGACAGCTTTACTTACTTAATTTGGCTTCCAATTGCATCAACATTTCTACCTATTAGCATTTTCAAATTTAAGATAATCTTGAACTGAACTTCTGCTCCAAAACCTGCTCTACCTTCCGTTATTATCATCTCAGTTATTGGCTATTCCATTTATTCCCAACACCATGGCCAAAAACTTTGGAGTTATTCTTGAATCCTGTTTTCTTCTCATACCCAACATCTGTCAGGGAATTCTATTGTCTTGACCTATAAAATACATCCAGAACCTGAACTTCACCCTGTTCTGAGTTGACAACATCATCTCTTGTCTATATTACTACAATGACCTAGCTAATTTCTATTCCCTATAGTATTTTATCTCCACAGCAGGGAGAGTGATTAGATTATGTCACAATGCCAACAAATGGCCTGTATGTGTGAAACCATAATAAATCTCTTTACCTGAAATATATTAGTCAGATCCTGCCTTTACCCTTGTATATGGTTTTTAACACTTCAGCTAAACCATATACAATCATTGGGAAGCTACCCAGAAATCTAGCTTTGATTTTTTTTATTTTTATTTTTTCACAAGGACTCCAGCACTATTTTAGTTTGGGTCATGGGAATGAACAGGGAAGGATCTCTCAGAATTATATCAAGGTAATGAAGGAAGAGCGTTGGCTTGTGAAGTATTTTTAGTAAATGTGATCTTGGCTGCAAACTTCTGGGCAGTGGGAATTGAAACACTAGGTTGGTCTCTACTTGTGTCTCAAAGACCCATTGGGTTAAAAATAATTCCAAGGATGTATCAATTAGCAAGCCCAGATATGATAGTGATGGAGATGGTGAATAACCATGGTTTATTCAGGGATCCTAGCTCTGAATATAGATCCTGCTCTATAATGATGTGAATTTAGGGTACATTAATGATAGCATGAATAAAAGTTATGTTCTGGCTACATGACTGCCTCACAATAATAAGAATAAAGAAAAACTAACAAAGCTCAATAATGTGGGAGCCTCCATAATCCAGAAAATTATCTTAAAGTTGAGACCAAAAAAAAGCCTTTTAGAATTCACTAATTTGTTCATCAAATACAGAGTGTCTATCACGTAACAGGCATTGTTTTATGCTCTTGGAACACATAATATGCAAAACACTTTTTAAATGCATGCTAATAAAGTGCTTCTAGTTTAACTGGAAGAGGGAAAAATAACACATAAATAAATTTTAAAAAATATACCCAGTCTACTAGGAGATAGTAAGTGCTTTGGAAAAAAATAAAGCAGGATAAGAGTGATTAGGGAGTGGGTTGGCAATTTTAATGAAGTTAGGAGAGCAGCAATAGAGCAAGGACTTGAAAGAAGTGAAAGAATTAGTTATGTACTTTGCAAAAGAGAGAATGGCTAATAGGAAAATCCTATTCTAGTGCTTGATGTGTTAGCTGGCATAGAGTGAGCAATAAAGGTGAAAAATGTAGGTCATTAATGAACTTAATTTATACTCTGAATAAGATGAACTATTGGAAGATTTTGAACCGGGGAGTTAGATAAACAAACAAACAAATGTGTATATACACACACAAACACACACTTGACCCTTGAACAAAGCAGAGGTTTGGAGCACTATCTCTTTCCCCTCTACCCCATCTCCCACCCCATACCTTTCAAAATTTGCATATAATTTTTTTCCTTTTTAAAATTAAACTTTTGGGGGTAACTTGGTAAATAAGTTTATATAGGCTTCAAGTTTACAATTCTGAGACACATGATCCTTATATTGCATTGTGTGCCCACCTCCCAAAGTCAAATCTGTCACTATAAATTTGACCCCCTTTACCTTTTATTTTACCCAGCCCACTCCCGTCCCTCTAGTAATCACCATACTGTTGTCTGTGAGTTTTTCTTGTTTGTTCTTTGGTTGCTTTCAGTTTTATGTTCCATATACTAGTGGAGTCACATGGTTCCTAACTTCTGTCTGACTTATTTTGCACATAACTTTTGATTTTCCCAAAACTTTACTAATAGACTACTGTTGACTAGAAGCCTTACCAATAATATAAATAGTAAATTAACACATATTTTTATATACATCATGTACTATATTCTTAAAGTAAGAAAAAAATGTTATTAAGAAAATCATAAGGAAGAGAAAATGCATTTACAGTATTTATTTTTTTTTAAAAACCCACAGCCGAAACCGGTTTGGCTCAGTGGTAGAGTGTCGGTCTGTGGACTGAAAGGTCCCAGGTTCGATTCCTGTCAAGGGCATGTACATTGGTTGCGGGCACGTCCCCGGTAGGGGGTGTGCAAGAGGCAGCTGGTCAATGTTTCTCTCTCATCGACATTTCTAGCTCTCTATCCCTCTCTCCTCCTCTCTGTAAAAAATCAATAAAATATATTTTTAAAATAATAATAAAAAAAACACAAAGAAGTAAACCCATGTTGTTCAACAGGCAACTCTATATTATATATATATTTCCAATAACATTTACCAGGTGAGTGGAACAGAATTAATATCTATTTTCAATGAATACTACATGCCAGTCACTTTGCAGGCATGTAGAACTAATATTAATGCTTTATTTTTCTTTTGAATTTTAGATATTTAGGTGTTCATATAAATAAAGGAATCAAGATAACCAAGCATGTCTGTCACAGAGGAAGACCTATGTCACCACATGAAAGTAGTTGTTCGTGTGCGTCCTGAGAACACAAAGGAAAAGGCAACTGGATTCCATAAAGTGGCCCATGTTGTGGATAAGCATATTCTAGTTTTTGATCCCAAACAACAAGAAATCAGTTTTTTCCGTGGAAAGAAATCTGGAAATCGAGATATTACAAAGAAACAAAATAAGGATCTTAAGTTTGTATTTGATGCTGTTTTTGATGAAACTTCAACTCAATTAGAAGTTTTTGAACACACTACTAAGCCAATTCTTCGGAGTTTTTTGAATGGGTATAATTGCACAGGTAATTATTAGTTGGGGTTTAATTTTTTTGTCTGATTTTAGTTTTTACATTAGAAGAAATATCTACTTGGTTTTTTCTTCTTAAATATCAATTTTAAGGTGCATGTTTGCTAAAATTATTGAATTCAGTAGATTTTCATTGTAAATGCAAACTTTATATGAAATTTAATATATGTAACATATAATTTGTGAAACTTTCTCTTTCACGGTCTTGCTATGGTCCCTATAGACAATCAGCTTTTCAATTTGTTATTTAACCACATACGTATAATTTATGCCAGATTTCTCACGGTTTGTGTTTATAATATATTGTTCTACTGCTTACCCTTATAACTGTCTATCTCTGTGGAGTAGTCAGACATTTTTTGAACACTTGGCATTTTCTTAATAGCTCTTTTTTTTTTTTTTTTTACAATATCTTGAAATAAAAATGTTAAAAGACCATGTTAATTGTATTTCAAGTGCTTTGTTAGTATATCTTCAGCCAAAAATTAATGTCTAGTGCCCTTCATAGACCTATAATAATTTTCCTTTTAAAACGGCCATCTTGCCGAAACCGGTTTGGCTCAGTTTAGAGCGTCGGTCTGCGGACTGAAAGGTCCCGGGTTCGATTCTGGTCAAGGGCATGTACCTAGGTTGCGGGCACATCCCAGGTGGGGGGTGTGCAGGAGGCAGCTGGTCGATGTTTCTCTCTCATCGATATTTCTAGCTCTCTCCCTTCCTCCTCTCTGTAAAATATCAATAAAATATATTTTTTAAAATAAAAAAATAAAACAGCCATCTTGATTTCCTAGAAAGAAATATGTCCAAAAGGCCGGCTATTTCTCTATGCTTATAACGCACTTAATACCACTATTCATATCTTACTTTTGGAATTACTATAATTTATGGCATTTTCTTTAAGATGCCCAAAACTATAATATATTTTACTGTCTCTCACTGACTCAGTTTTATTACAAAAGACTTATCCTCTGGGTATAGTAAGAAAGGAATGTGGTTTATTGATTATATCTGCTATGATTCTGAATTTTAGCATATATTCTTTTCCTCATTCATGGAATTCCATATTGTCTCTAGAGATTTTTAATTTTTTTTTTTTACATCAAATAAACAAAAATCTACCAACTGAATCATTGGTTTCTTCTTGGCTTTGATTTTATATTCTTATCTATCTGTCTTAAGATTTCTTGATGTATTATGGTCTTACATAAAATAGAACAAAATGAAACATACATCAGTTTAATTCATTCTTGTGAAAAGTATTCTTATAGTTGGTTAACATTTAGCTCAGCACAGAGATTTTACTTATAAAAATATTCTCACTGGTAATAATATGAAGAATTATTGCCTTGACTCAATCTTGTGGTGGGTATTTGCCATTTTTTTTTTTTTTTGCATTAATATTGTGATGGGTATTTGTCATGTGTGGACTTTTTCTTGCATTTGAAAAAAAAATTACTTTTACATGTTACTGAGTAGAATCTTGAAAACCAAGGAATTTGCATAAGACAACATCATTTTTTGTTTTAAATTTTAAAATGAATTTTATGAATGGTTTCTATCTAGAATTCACTCACTCAGCAAACTTGTATTGAGTACCTGCTTTGTGCCAGGTGGTTTGTTAGGTGTGAAGGATATCTGGCCTGTGCTCAGAGTTGGAAATACACTGTGATATGTGCTGGAATAGACAGTTGTGTGGCATATACTGAGGGCTCAAATAAGGGAGTAGACGTTTCTGCCTAAGACTTTAAGGAAGGCACAGGAAAGTGACATTTGTGCTGAATATTTAGAATAGATGGAAGTTTTCTAGTTGGATTAAATAGAGGAACTTTCCAAGACAAAAGCAGTGGAGTAGAAAGAGAGCAGCACTTGAGGAGAACTTCAAATAATCTAGTGTACTTAGACCACAGCAAAGGATAAATAGGCTAGAACGATAACCAGACACCCTTTCTTAGAATGCCTAATAATATTCCAAGGTGAGGAATTTGAATTTCCTTCTGTAGGACTGTGGAACTATTACACAACTTTAACATATTCCAATTTTATTTTTCATAAAAGTAACTGTACAAATTCTATGGGATGGAAGAAGATTGAGACTAATAGGGAGACATAATTGATTACTTAATATGTGTAAGGTTGCTGTAGAAGATTGGAAATAGTTGTTGGAGTCGGGGAGAGGGGAGCCAGGTGGGTGGATGATGGTACCATTAATCAGAATAGAGAATATAGAAGTAAGATTTTTGCGAACATTGCAGGTTTTAAGAATAAGACTATAAATTAATTTTGAATCTGTTTGTTGAGTTTAAATTTACTGTTGAGCATATCCAAATGGAACTACCCACTAGATAGGAGCTATAGTAATGGTATAACAGAGAGCTTTGATCCCTTTTCATAAAATGTCATAACAGAGAGCTTTGATCCCTTTTCATAAAAACCCAGTACTTGCATATGGTGCCACTGGAGCTGGGAAGACCCACACGATGCTAGGATCAGCTACTGAACCTGGTGTGATGTATCTAACCTTGTTAGACCTTTACAAATCCATGGATGAGATTAAAGAAGAGAAAATATGTAGTACCGCAGTTTCTTATCTGGAGGTAAGTTGACAATAGCATTCTTTATATTAATCGATAGTATTGAGAACTCCTTTAAGAAGTTCCATGGTCCATTTAAATTATTCTGTCATATAGGAATTTTCTCATGAATATATAACACCATTTTTAATTACCTATGATGCATCTTTCTCTTTTTCTGGTATTTTATTTTGCATATCTGACTTGCATAAAAGTAGCAAGATTAGTACAAAGAACTTCCGGGAACCCTTCACCCAGATTTCCCATATTGTTAACATTTGACTACCTTTACTTTCTATCTCTTTATGTGGTTGTAGCTGTTTCTTTTTCTAAAATGCTGAAGTTACAGACTTTTAGAAGTTTCCTAAAATAACCAAAAAGTTATCAGGAAATGAACAGTGATACACTGTTACCTAATCCATAGACCTTACTGAGAGTTTGCTATTGATTCTAATAATGCCCTTTATTAGAAAAGAAAACCTAAGATCCTTAGTTGCACTCAGTTGTCACAACTCTTTAGTCTCCTTTATCTGAATTTCTTTTTCTTTACGTTTTATGACTTTAATCCACTGATGATACATGCTTGAATCAATTATGATGGTAGGTGATTGTGATTTTTAAATTCCTTTCATTTCTTCTACATTTATTCATTGGCTGTCTACTGTAAAGAGAGCTTCTCTTTCCTTTATAGTATCAGTGTGGATACATCAAATTGTTAACATAATTCAGTAGTTTATAATCTCTTTCTGTAATTATTTATTTATATGCTGAAATTGTGCAAATCAAGGCTCTTTTGTGCTGTCTCCTAAGTCCTTCTGATGTGCCCCATTTCTGTAGGCCTCCTACCCTTTTACTAACAGCTGACATTCAACACATTATAACTAAATGCCAGGCATTCTAACTTTGAATTTATGATAGATAGTGTTTCAGAAACCAGTACAGAAATATAAATTTCAATTTTACTGCCTATTCATTTGTGGTGTCAGAGAAAAAATTCTACCAGTTACAGCTCTTTTATTGATATCTTATAGTTAAGCGAACATTTCAAAAATTCATTAAGATTATGTATGCTGCTAAAAATTTTCATCTTAGTCTATAGGACTTGAAAATAAAGAAGTAAAACTTACTTTCTATAGTTAGGTATGGCAAACAATTATTCTGAACATAATTAGAAAAGAGCATGGCAGTATTCGTTATTTCTTTTTCAGATCCCTTCATAAATAGGAGAATTTTAAAGTTTTTTTTATATACTTTTAAAAATCTTTTTTCCTTTCTTTTAATCTACTTCCATTTTATTATTGGTAAGGCAATGTCTAATCTAATGATTTTCCTCTTGGGCTGTGCACCAGAATTGGCTATGGAGGTTTTTAAAAATAGACATGCCTGGACCTCACCCCCTGGACATTTTAATTTAATAGGTCTGGATTGTGGCCGAGGCATCTATGTTTTTAAAAAGCTCCCAGGTGGTTCTGAAGCATAGACTAGCTTGAGAATGATTGTTCTAATTGCGTTTTTGGTATGATTTAAGTGGGTAAGGGGAAGCACTAGAAAAGTGACTGCTACTTCAGAAAAATAAGAGCCAAAAAACATAGCTCTTGAATATTTTACTACTTTAAAGAGTTTATTACATTTAAAAATGGTTATCATTCATTGTTAAAAATTTTACTAGCAATGAATTGGCACTATGGGCTATTTATTAGAATATAGAAATATGAGTGGTAGTTGTCATTTATATAAGCACTAGAAAACTTAGTACCCTTAGTAAATTCATAAAATTACCTCAATAAAATTATGTATATGCATTACTTAAAAAAATAAAAATTACTAAAAAAAAAAAAAAAAAATGCCAGAGACATAAAGAACAGGTGTGTATTCAATGCCATGTAGTAGAGTGAGGATATTTGGCCTTCAATCTCCTCTGCTGTTACTTTCATGGCCATGGACAAATCGCTGAACCTTTTAGGGCCCTAGTTTCTTCATTATTCAAATGGGGGATGGGGTTCCAGTATGGAATTTGACATAAGAATTACATGTTAAATTAATATAATTGAAGGATAAATGGAATAAAATACTATCCATTCTTGAGCATGAGCTTTCTTTCACTTTTGAGCTATACAATATTTAAAAGTTTGGTCTACTTGGGCGTCATAAAATAATGTTTTCTACAGTGAAAAGCATGCCACCTCCACATAACTTATATTTCAGATCCACTAGAATTTCCCAAGACCACATGTCCTGTGTATTTCCAGGAAATAGGCAAAGGCAATTCCATCTATTTTATTTCTGTTTTACTGAAATCATCAAGTGAGGGTATAATGACTCCACCTTTAAATTTAAATTTCAAACCTATGTAATTAAACTCTTCTGTTTCCTCAGATGGTAGAAAATTAATGGCAGCATGAGATAGAAGGAATGAGATGAAATAAATGAACTGCTATTTGTCTTCAAGATAAAATTCGAATATAAACTTAAATCAGCAATGTATGCCTGTTTGTGATGTTATCGCTATTGCTTTAAGATCAATGCTAAAGCAGTTGTTTTTAATTTTCATCTTAAGGTCTATAATGAACAGATTCGTGACCTCTTAGTAAATTCAGGGCCACTTGCTGTCCGGGAAGATGCCCAAAAAGGGGTGGTCGTTCAGGGGTTGACTTTACATCAGGTATGTTTATAAACTTTTCCCCTTGTTCAAATAACAAGTTTGGTTGTTTAGCCATTTACTTAATTCTTCATTGTACTTGAGAAAGAAGGAAAATAATGAAGTGCAAACTTAAAATAAACATAGTATATCTTAGTTTTATTTTGTTTTCCTTGAAATAATTAAATGAGCTTTTCTTTAAAAAAAAATAAAAATACTCCTGAACATTTCACATATTATTCTCTTCAATATGTTTATATTTTATCTGCTCAGAAGACATGGCTTTATCTTTTATTCCTCATGCAAGACCAACTTACAAAGCAAAGGATATACAGTCAATATTTAATAGGATTTAAATTATAGAAAGCATTTTTTTACCTTTTCTTTTATCTTTAAAATTCTTGCTTATTGAAAGTGTATTAAAAAAAAAATTAAACTCATATATCTAATGTGTATATATTTTTTAAACTTCTCTAGCCCAAGTCCTCAGAGGAAATTTTACACTTATTGGATAATGGGAACAAAAACAGGACACAACATCCTACTGATATGAATGCCACATCTTCTCGTTCTCATGCTGTTTTTCAGGTAACAAGGCACTAGACTATTGCTCTTTAAGTTGAATTTAAAACAAATGAAGCCAAATTCACGGATAGTAATTTTCAAACATACAAAAAAAATTTTCATCTGTGAACTTTCCTACTTCTAAGCTCTTTCTTTACTTTGCAGCTTTGAAAAGATTCTATCAAGAATATTTAGAAATGAGATAATGTAAATCAGAAATTAAATTTTACCTGGTTAAAGATGTAGGATAAAAAAAAGTGGAAGTGTTGGAGAAGCTTTTCTATTTTTTCTTTAAATTGGTGAAAGTATTTAATATTTCCAAAGCATGAACCTGTATTCAGAGCAAACTTTATAGATCTAGATTTACATAACTAAGGAATTGGGGAGATACTGATTCACTTTTTAAAAGATTTTATCATAGTGACCATAAAAATTAGTTGCATTCTTTAAGAAAGTGCAATTCAGTTGATACAGTACTTTTAAGAATTCTAAATGCATAGGTTAAATGTTATTTCTTACAGCTTCTAGTCTTCTTAAAACCAAATGATTATGTAGCTTTATTATGGACTAGAAGCCCAGTGCACAAAATTTGTGCGTGGGGTGGGGGTGGGGGGGTGTCCCTCAGCCCAGCCTGTGCCCTCTCACAGTCTGGGAGCCCTCACTCCGTACTACCTGCCTGCTTGCTCACTGCTCCTTACCATTCGGCCTCCTGCTCCTCAGCACTGTTACGGAGGCAGGAGAGGCTCCTGCCACTGCCATTGGCTTGCCAGCCGTGATCCTGGTTCTGGCTGAGCAGCTCTCCCCCTGTGGGAGCACACTGACCACAAGGGGGAAGTTTCTGCATTAAGCATCAGCCCCTGGTGGTCAGCGTGCATCATAGAAACTGGTTGTTAGGGTTGTTCCAACGTAATGTTAGCTTAGGCTTTTATTATATAGATTAGCTTAGACTTTTATTATTATAGCCATGCACAGGTGGGGTCCATCTGGTCTGCCCCCAATAGGGACCAGATCAGGGCCAGGCTGGTTAAAGGCAGGATCTGTGGGCAATTGGCTGGGGGTTGGAGGAGGGCTGCCCCCGATTGGGGTGGAGGGTGAGCTATTGGGGGCGGGGCCAACCATGGAGAAGGGCTGTGGGCCAAAAGAGGTGGGGAGCTGATGAGGGGGCCAGCAGCCTGAGGGATAGGCCAACCGGCTAGCTGGCTCTGCCCCTGATCAGAGTTGGGGGTCCCTTCTGGGATGGGGATGGCCAGCTCTGCCCTGATTAGGGAGGAGAGCCAGTGGTATGGGGGAAGGGGCTGCAGGAGGTTGGCCAGCTGGCCTTGCCCCTATTGGGGTAGAGGCAGGGCCAGCCCGGGGGAGGGGCAGTGGGACATCGGGGTGGTAGGGGCCCATCAAGGGTTGGGCCGGTCTGTGGAAAAGGGGGTAGGGAGGTTGGCCAGCCAGCCCCGCTCCCAGATCTGGCCAATGTGCTAGCCACAGTGGGCGTCATAGCAACCTGTGTCATTCTGGCGTTATGGTCACTATCTTCATATATATATATATATATATATATATATATATATATATATATATATATATATATATATATATATAGATTATGCTATGTAGAACTCATTTTATAAAAATTGTTATAGTTGAAATAATTCATATCTGAGGCAATTAAATCATTCAGAAAGTCTCCAGCATACAAAATTGTGTAAATCTTTTCCATTCTTACCTCTGACTTCATTTATCAGTAGTCTTGAGAGAAATATTTATCTATGACATGGAGTTTTCCAAAATGTCTTAGACCCTGTTTTGTAAGAAAATTTAACAGAAGGGTTTTATAATGGAAAACTATCTTTCCCATATCTTTTAAATTTGCCACCAAATTTATATTGGTTAAATGATAAAGTAGCTTAAAATAGTTGAATAAGTTGTTCTTTACTCTTAATAGGCTATTGAACATGACTAATATTCTTTAATATACTATTTTTTATATGTTTCATTTTTTAAACTATAATTACACGCAACAATTTGGAGAATTGGGGTAAATTTACTCTTCGAATTGGGTCAACGTTCAAATTCAGCTTTCCTTTGGGAACAATCCCTGCAGACATGCAAAGCATTCTGCCTTTGATTTTCTCTTAGGAACATTATTTCTAAAGGACCTGTGCCCTACTACCATCTCTGATAATCCTGTGTTTTGATTCAAGGATTACCAGATACAAAGTGGTTGTTTTGATCTTAGTCCAGCCAACACCTAATTGTCCTCTGGATACATTTTATTTTCCAATTTTTCTCAACTTTGGAGGTTACTTCTGGTGTTCTTGGATATCAGCCAAAATAAACTGTACATCTCCCTTTTAATTCTATTATATCTTCTCATTTTCCCTATTCTGTAATTTCAAAAAGATTTATTTGCGGCAACAAGACAAAACAGCAAGTATTGATCAAAATGTCCGAATTGCCAAGATGTCCCTCATTGACCTGGCTGGGTCTGAGAGAGCCAGTGCTACCAGTTCTAAAGGGACCCGGTTCAGAGAAGGTACAAATATTAATCGATCACTTCTCGCTCTTGGGAATGTCATCAATGCTTTAGCAGATACAAAGGTTGGTACCATATGTTTATTTGTCTAAACATTTTGAAATATTGAAGTATGTATAATTTCTAGAGAGATAATTATTTAATATAATTTTGTTTTAAACATCTATTAGTCAAATTTCAAGAGTACATCAATAATTTTTATATACAGAGCAAAGACTTCAGAAGGCCTAGTATATCAAATAAAACTATGTTTCTGTATTTTTTGTATTTTTTATTTTATTTATTTATTTTTTAAATATATTTTATTGATTTTTCACAGAGAGGAAGGGAGCGGGAGAGAGAGTTAGAAACATCAATGATAGAGAATCATTGATCAGCTGCCTCTTACACACCCCTACTGGGGATGTGCCCGCAACCAAGGTACATACCCTTGACCGGAATTGAACCCGGGACCTTTCAGTCCTCAGGCCGACGCTCTATCCATTGATCCAAACCTGTCCTGGCTGTTTCTGTATTTTTTTAATTTCTAGTTTTATAACCAGAATTTGTTTAATGAAGAGTATTAACTATAAGATTAATAGTTAATATTTTGTGGCACTTTCTTATTACTTATTTTGAACTTGATTTTTAAAGTTAGTATTTAATGATTCCTACACAGCAAGCATGATAATTGAATTGGCATGAAGACACAAAACACATCTTATAAAAATTAAAGCCTATTCTGGTTAGTATTTTTCTATACTGTAAAATTAGGTTAAGTATTAAAGAGTGTTGATTTAGAGAGTAGGAGGAACTTAAGATATAAAATGTAATTAAATTACCTAATAGGTTGGTGTTTATTGGATGCCTTTGGGATATTTAAAATATTTTACACCTAATATATGCCAGACGTGCTTACTAGAGTACAGCATATTTTACAGTTTCTGTATTTGTAAAAGTGACTTTTTTAAAAGTTAAAATGCAGTCATTTAATTTAATTTCAATCAGCCTCATGAGTTTTAGGAAAAATATTGTAAAGTCTTTAAAATGTTGCATTTTGAATTAGTATGAAGTATTTTAAAATGATTTGAGGACCCTTTTTATAATATATAGTTACTGAAATCCCATGAAGATTGCAAAAGCAAGATGACTTTCATATTCTAACTTAAACCTTTAAACATGTAAGCAGACAGCATGGTATAGAGACTGATTTTCTAAGTTTTAAACTGGCATTTTTTTTTTCATATGTAATTTTTAATAATTGACTCCCATAGAATAATTTGTGAGACAGTGTTTAATGCATGTGTTGTACATGTGAAATCATTTCAGTCACCAGCAATACACATTCTACAGTTTGAAAAACTGGGAGTTGGGAGACCTAGAGCCCATTTCTAGGTCTGAATTACAAGCCATTTGACCGGAACCAAGTCATGTTGCTTTTTACTTAGTACAAATTTTCCTCTTCTGTAATATGAAAGATATCCATTGGATAATAAGTTGGTTTTAGCTTAACATTATAATGCTCTGTTTTTATATAGTAGTTGTATGTCTTGTGTAATTTTTATGATAAAGTCAGTACTGAATCTTTTAAGTAAAAGAAAACCTAGAAAAAATTACATTCTTATCACTTTGTTATGCTTTTAGATCTTTAAAATAGTAATACCATTTCAGATAGTTAGAGAAAACTGCTCTATGCCGCACAGAATTCTTACTATTCTTCCAGTATATTTATTTAGGGCATATATTAATTTTGTATTTTAATTTCTTTTAAAAATGAATGGAAAATTTTTAAATAGACATTTTGTTTTTGAATTGGTTTAGATACAGAAAAGTAGCTGAATAATACTAAATTTTCCTTAAGTATACTCCACAGTCATTTCTCCTTGTTGTTAACATCTCCATTAATGAAGTACACTTATTACAACTAATGAGCCAATATTGATATTTTATTATCTAAAGTTTATTTTCAGATAGATATAAAATCTTTAAATAGGATATTTGTTTTATATATTCATTATAAAAGCATAGTATGCCAATTGTCCCCTCACCTAGAGGTCTTCTGGGAGTTCGACCAGGGGCAGGGAGGAAGTACTGGCCAGCAGCCAGTAAGGACCCTACCTCTACTTGTTCCATAAAATTCATTATCATCATTTAGCTCCCCATTTATATCATAACTCTGGGCAAAGCTGGGAAGTTGCTTATATTCTTGAAGTGAAGTGGTAGCAGGTTTGCATTTAAATGTGGGAAATGACATAATAATTCTGTGTGTGTGTGTGTGTGTTTTGTTTTGTTGTTTTTTTCAGAGAAAGAATCAGCATATTCCTTACAGAAATAGTAAGCTCACTCGCTTGTTAAAGGATTCTCTTGGAGGCAACTGTCAAACTATAATGATAGCTGCTATTAGTCCTTCCTCTATGAGCTATGATGACACATATAACACTCTTAAGTATGCTAACCGTGCAAAGGACATTAAATCTTCTGTAAGTATGTTTACTCTGATTGTGTTATAAGGGTAATAGGTGACATTATTTTTGCAATTCTAACAAAATATTAATTTAGAGTTGCATTTTCACTGAGTTAGAAAATAGTGTTAGAAATATCTTTATACTTAGGATGAATTGGACATTAAATTAAATAATTAAGCCCTGACCAGTTTGGCTCAGTGGATAGAGCGGTGGCCTGCGGAATGAAGGGTCCCAGGTTCGATTTCAGTCAAGGGCATGTACCTTGGTTGAAAGCACATCTCCAGTAGCGGGTGTGCAGGAGGCAGCTGATCCATGTTTCTCTCTCATTGATATTTTTAACTCTCTATCCCTCTCCCTCCATCTCTGTAAAAAAAAATCAATAAAATGTATTTTTTAATTAAATAATTAAACCACTAAGCATCTTGATTACATGTATAATAGATAATTATTATTCAGTCTTTTGGCAGCTAAGGGGGTTTAGTGCCTTTTTTCTTTTTCTTCTTTTCTTTTTTTTTCCTTTTTTTTAATCCTCACCCAAGGATATTTTTTTATTGATGATTAGAAAGAGTGGAAGGGACAGGAAGAGAAAGAGAGAGAAAAAAAACAAAACACTTTGTGAGAGAGACACATTGATTGGTTGCCTTCCACACAAGCTCCGACCAGAACTGGGAATCAAGCCTGCATTCGAGATACCTGCCCTTGGCGGGAATCAAACCCAGGACCCTTCAGTCTGAGGGCTGATGCTCTATTCACTGAACCAAACCAGCTAGGGCTTTAGTACCTTTTTCCCCAACCTTTTCTACATTATGGCACATGATTTTTGATGGCACCCTGGAGTAATTGGTGAAGGCTTTAGCATATTGTGGCAGCTGGGAATGAACCTGTTTTAGCTTAGCACCAACACTTTCTACCTGACATCCTTGGGTAGGTTAGCTCATTTCTCTAATCCTCGATTATTTCATCTGTAAAATAGTTATATCTGCCGTGGTTTATAAAGTAAATCGCTTTTTAAAAATTGTTTATTTTTATGTTTATGATAATGACAACCAATCTCTAGCTCCAGCAATTTAATGATTGGTGAGGTCAGTATTTTTGCAAATAATGTGGGGTAATTAAAATATATGTAAGTCAAACATAATATATGTTTAAAATCACAGGACCTCAGGGTTTGAAGAGACCTACAGTTAAACTAGCGTGATAACATCTCTGCCTGCTTACCCTTCTGCTACTCTCATTGAATGAACATGAACACGTTACTGTTTTCCTTAGAGAAATGCTCAGATACTATTTATATAATTAGTTGCTAAAAGCTGTAGAATATGGGTATACAAATTTTTTTTTTACACATTTGTCATGTAATCTTTCCACTAACTCATTGTGGAAAGCATTTTTAGCTCTACAGTGGAGGAATTCCATGCTTAGAGTTGTAAATACTAACTTGCACATCATTTAGCTGAGAGGTGAGCAGGGCCTCAAAATTAAGTATTTGGACTTGTATTTTTAATGTTCTCTCCACTATTCCATAGCTGCCAACAGGCCCATACTTTTATATAAAGGATAAAATGTAATAACTCATTATACCTAGTTGAACTTACAACTGTCTCAGTCTTAAAATTATTTCTGAATTTCTTAGAAATCAGAGGAAAAAGAAAATTGGTAATTTTTATTATATTGAGAATGAGTGCTTCATAAGTTCTTAAAAATACCTTTTTTCAGATAGTAAAGCAATCTGTCACTTCATTTACATTATTAATGTGGTCAGCATATCCTCTTGTCATAGATTTTAAATCTGAGTATAATTAATCATGATTGTCTCATGGTTGTACTTGCCACTAATTCTGAATTCATGGAACTGAATTAATGAACATATAATGTCATTTTGCTTGTATATTCAACTATGTGATAATGATTATCTTTATATATACTCATAATTTCTATATTTTAACAGTTGAAGAGCAATGTTCTGCACCTTGACAATCATATAACTCAGTATGTGAAGATCTGTAATGAGCAGAAGAAAGAGGTGTGTCTACTTTTTACATATACTAATCTCCCTCACTTCCTCACTCATGGGATTTTACAATCTTAATTGTCCAAAAATTTGACATGTTTTCTATTACATATGAAATCTGGCTTGTTCGGTTATTTTTCATGGCTAAAATTTTTCTGTGGCCATGTATAATAGAGACAGATAATTTATTTTGTATTTTAACTAGTGTATCTCTCTACTAGATTTTAATGTTAAAAGAAAAATTAAAAGCCTATGAAGAACAGAAGGCCATTACTGAGGAAAATAACCAAGTGCAGTTAATGATTTCAAACCCTCAAAAAAAAGAAATTGAAAGGTAAAATTGATAATCAATATTTCATTTTGATGTTTTATTATTTTGAAATTTCATCAAATATTTTATCATCTGTTGTATAAGTATGTTTATATACTCAACTGAATTCAGAAAGTAACTGATTGGTGTTTATATTTTAAAACTTTTGAGATCCATTATTGTAATTGTGATTATATAAATAGTAAGGAGAACCAGGACTTAGGTACTCTTCAGAAAAGGTAAAGCCAATTATATCACTTATGAAATTAGTTTTTAGTGCATTTCTTACTTTCCTTCCCAGTTGTTTTAGTCTATTCAAGCTGCTTTAGCATAATACCACAGACATATATATTTTAAGGCTGGAAATCCAAGATCAGGGTATCAATATAGTGGGATAGTTGGGTGCTGGCCTTGAAACATGTTGTAGACTTCTTGAATCCTCACATGGCCAAAGGAGACAGAGGCCTCTCTGCAATCTCTTCTATAAGGATACTAATCCTATCTATAGGTCCTCAGCCCTCATGACCTAATCACATCCCAAGAGCCCCTCCTCCTTGAGTGCTGAATTTCAACATGAATTTCAGGGGACACATTCAGGTGTGATTGCATCTAGCATTATCGTTATTTGTAGATTATGTAAATTATATCTACCTTTTCTTGGCTATATATAACTCATAATCAATGAGTTTAGGTTCTTAACTATTTGAAAGAACATCTTTCAATGGTATAAGTCAATAGAGAATTTTGATAGGTTCACATTAAGCTTCTTAGCAGGTATATTTAAAAAAAAAAAAAAAGAGCTGTTAATAATGCAATACTCAAAAGTACTTTCCCCTAAGCAATTAAGACAAATTGTCTAGATAGTTCAAAGGCTATGCATCTTGAGTAACTCTAAGAAGACAGTAGGAATTCCTAGATTGAACAAGTTTGGAAATTAGTACTAAAGGAATCTAAAAGATTTTCAAAGCACATCAACATATTGAAGGCTCTGAGAAACCCTGTAGTAAGGGAATCTGTTAACTTTTGTTAAAGTCCAGTAAAATTAAACTTATTTGACATTGCCCAGAGCCAATTTTACCTTATCATTAGTGTGAGAATCCAGCCACAACTTAAATCATTGGTTATTCACGCTATTTTGGAAAACTAGAGTATATAGAAGATGTCTTGATGTACATAAGAAAAACTAGTCAACAATGACCTCAACTTAATTTCAGTTATAACACCTTTTTAAAAATTTGATTTGCATATTAATTTATATAAAGTATCTTTGATTTGGTAGAAAATAATATATATAAAAAGATATAGAAAATAATACATATAAAAAGATATATATTATTTTCTACCTTAATTGACCCCAGGTGTTAAGATAACTGCTTATAATAATAACAAATAGCACTTTGTTTTTATAGATGGCTATAATTTTTAATGAATTTTAAGGCCATATTAATTTTAGCTGATTACAACAACCCTTGCAATTTTGAAATGGCATATTGTCTCATTGATAGATAAGAGTAATAACTATAAAAATCATCTCTTTCAGATCTTAATTTTTTTGTTCCCACCCTGTGCTATTTCATAAATATAAGAATTAAAGTTATTTCTTTCAATAAAATAAATCAGTATTTTATTTAGCAAAAAGTTAGCGTATATAATATTATAGTATCAGAGCTATGTAGATACAAGAAATTTTCTATTGTTTAAATTATGTTCTGTTAATGCAGATAACCCATTGTAAAAATAAAATTGTTATATTTTATTAGAATTATGATACTTTTGTAATATCATATCAATTTTATAATATCTTTAAAAATATCAAGTAAAAGTAATTTCTCATTTATTCATTTTTATCAAAAAGAGCTTTTAACTGATATATTTTTAGTAGTTTCCTTATTATTTTACTTGTGAAATGTATGATTGGTTCCCAGGCAACTAGTTATCTCTTTATTGATATCTTAAAAATTAAGTCATCAACTGTTTAGATTTGTAGTCATTGCTTGAATGCAATTGCTCAGACCTACTTAACCAGATCTGGTTATCAGTTAACACCTTACATATAGTAGACTTCTAGAGCTGATGGCTTTTAATTGTTGAACTCTTCTGGTAAAATAATTCGGGAGGGAGATGGTCTGAACTATGAAATAAGCAATTATTTGGGTATTTTTCACATTTCAACCTGACTTTACCAACAATAAAAACATAGGGTTATAAGTCATGCAACATGCTAAATAATTTACTTATACTTATAAAGAAGCTAATCATAGAATGGTATATCTTTGTCATTTTCTCTTAAAATTAACTATCTTCTGATAGAAATGTGTGAGATAACTTTCATCACATCAATCACACTGTTACGAAAAACTTTTTTAATGTCTTTAATTTGAAAAGTGTTTGTGTAAAAAAAAGTAAACATGTATATGAAGTTTAAATACATAAAGAATATGCAGTATTTGATATCTGTCAAAGTTATTTGGAAAGATAATATTCAAGAAGAAAATGCAATTGTTCTTTATATATAGCTATAAAACTTCTTTTGTGGCTATATCAAGAAAATGGTGTAAGAATTTAATATTTCTCATATATCATCTAAAGTTATTAAAGATTTTTGTTTTCTAGTTACTTTAATGTATTAAATAATTAGAAAATAGATGTCAGTCCCTTAAAACACTTTCTGTTTTAAAATGATAGTTGCTTGTTTTGTTTTGTTTTTTTGTTTTGTGGGTTATTTTTAGTTTGTTTTTGTTGTTGTTTTTTTTAAGGAGCTTTCTAGCAACCTTCCTGTCATCGTAAACACCACTAATTGAAATAAGTCTGCACCACAAAATTGACAAATATTTAACTATGTCCTTGGGTAAAATGTTAAAGAAAAACTAAAAAATTATCAATTCATTTACTGGCATTAGTGTTGTTGTAATATAATACAATAAAATTGCAATGTCCGTATATACTTTCTATGAAATATTTATCAGTTGGACAAAATTGCAGTAAAGTGGTTGTATTTTGTTTTATATTCATTCCCAGTACAGTTTCATTAGGAACTACTGACGTAAATTGGCAGTGTTTTTACCACAGATCTTTACAAGTATATCAAAAATTTGGTCAAAGAACATTTATTTTTAAGTGCTTATATTTTGTTACAGTTTTAAAGGTTTCACAGTTAATTTTTCTTTGAGAGCTTTGCCTATATGTGACTATTTATACTACTCATACTGCTGCTATAGATAAAAACTGATCTATGACTTAAAAGTGGGAATATATTTTTATAAACTTATAATGTTGCTGTAATAAATGTTCTGTCGACCCAGAGGACACTGGATTGCAGGGTCACTATTGGGCTTTCAGAGGAGTTTTTCAGCTTGAAGTCTTTATGCTTATGGAGGAGATATAAGTCAAATTCCCCAACTTTGATTCTCTAAATCTATATTTCCCTTTTGAGGAAACACACAACAGTGGCTTTTCTGGTTTACCACATTGTAAACCTGTATGTTTTGGGTCATGGCCAGTATCACTGACTCATAGCCAGGCGGTAGGGGGTCCCTGACCTTATGGTGTGTTTTCACTCTAACAAGTTCTGATGCAAAAAACTGGCCATCTCACTTTCCCTAGGAGGCAATGGAGGCACCATATGATTACACCACCCACTGCTTATTTCTTCACATTGAGCCAAAACCGAAACAATAAGCTAAGTACTGTGTTGTTTTGAGGGCCTTGTGAATTGGGATAGTACAGGTTCAGATTATCATCTATTTTCTACAAATAAATATTTTATTTTTGCTAAGCAAAATGCAATCTACTAACAGAGGCCCTATAATACTTACATTTTTAATAACATGATTTTTATTGAAGGAGAGAAGACCAAAATAGTAAAAATAGTTATTAACCATTTTCAAATATTTTTGTAACTTAAGGAACAGTCACTTGAACCAATCTGCTGTTTATTATTGAGTCTTATTCTGAATGTTATATTTTTTGTTCATGCATTTCATTAAGTAAGCTCTATCATATATCACAGAATTAGTGACTTTTTCATGTGTCTATTTTTTTGTAGATATCAAGAAATTCTGAACTGCTTGTTCCAGAATCGGGAAGAAATTAGGAAAGAATATCTGAAGCTAGAAATGTTACTTAAAGAAAATGAACTTAAGTCATTCTATCAACAGCAGTGCCATAAACAGATAGAAATGATGTGTTCTGAAGACAAAGTAGAAAAGGTATTTAACAACTTTTTAATTAAATTTTAGAAAATATAAACCATGGGAACTTGCCTCTCTAGGAATTTGAAAGGCAGTGTTACATAGTCACCCGTTCTAAGCAGCCACCTGGCAGTTCTGAAGGAAATGTAGTAAGCATTGTTATAAAGGCATAGTTTATTGTACAAGAAAGAAAACCAGTGGCAGCTTACTTCTGGGAGGGTGGTTGAAATTTCTAACGTGAATGAAGCTAACACACTCAAGAAGAGTAGAGTACCAAAGGTGGGGCAGGGGGTGCAGTCTACACCGGATGTGGGCAACTTAGACCCATGGCAGTTCTTTCCCTAGGTAAGAATATTTTATCACTGACATTATTAGATTTTCCATAGCATGGTGCTAAGAAAAGCAGGTGAACTTTCAGTTGGTTTTATTTAGTGCAATAGTACACTGCCCTCCCTTTCCACACACACAAAACATTCTTATTTCTTTGCTTTAGATGTACACCACTGTTTAGGTAATGGACCCAAGGGAGGCAGGGGGTTAGAAATGACAGCCACCATATAAAGCTGGGAACCTCAGAGGCCTGCATCCTTCGTATTGGGAGTGCACCAGGAAAAAAATACCTTAACAACTAGCCCAAGTGATAAGGAAAAATGTCTCATTGGAAGACTTTCGTTATAGACATTCTTTTCGCAGGATTTAAGGTTTGAATTTTTATAATATTGTGTTTTGTTTAGCAAATTTCTAAGATGAGAAATTAACATAGAAAATGGTATCAGACCAGTGATAATTTATGGAGACCAGGGCAGAAGCAATGCAAAATGAGCCTAGTAAAAATAGACCCTCAATTTAAACCACCATTGAGAACTTACTATCCAAAATTCAAAAAATGTGCTGGAACAGTTCATCATAAACAAATCAATAGCTTAACAAATATGACATAATACCCAAAACTTTAGCTAATAGAGCAATCTGATAAAAAGTTTAAAAATGAATAAAGTCATCAAAATGAATTAACAATAAATGAATCAAAGATAAAAGAACATCCATATCTGAGTTTAAAAATGAATAAAGTCATCAAAATGAATTAACAATAAATGAATCAAAGATAAAAGAACATCCAAAAAAAAAAAAGAAATATCCAGAAATTAAAGTTTAGTTACTGAATTAAAAAATTTGCTTTATAGATACAATACTAGGCAATGTTTTAAGTACTTTATGTATATCAACTCATTCAGTTCTCAGAAAACTGTATGAAATATATTATTATCCTCAATAGAGGCATGTTGCACAAAGATTCGTGCAAGAATGGGCCTTCCTTCCCTTGGCTTTGCTCCTGGGCCACCTGGGAGCCTGAGAGTCTTCACTCCCAGCTGGAGCACCACTCCTATAGCTCCCTCTGGCCCCCTATCCGTTCCGCCCTGCCCAGCTGCTCTGCATTTGCATATTAACCCAACCTGTCATCTTTGTCAGGTTAATTTGTATACTCACTCCTGAATGGCTGTGGGCATAGTGGAGGTATGGTCAATTTACATGTTTATCTATTATTAGATAAGATAATTTAGGTGAAGACACAAGGCACATATAATTCTTTTTGCCCAAGATCACAGAGCTCATAGGTGTCAAAGCTGTGATCCGAACTCAAGAAAGCTGATTCCTGAGCCTGTCCTCTTATCACTATGCTTTTTGCATATTAGATATAGCTGAAGAGAGAATTAAGGAACTGGGAGGTCTGAAGAAGTTACAGGATAAAAAGATGGGAAATGTGAACAAATGGGTAGACTCAAAATCCATGCATTTATCTAATAGAAGATGTATTAGGGCAAAAGGTGAAACAATAATATGCACAGTTTAAGGCTAGGCATGTTTTAAGACTAGTAAGATGTAAACTCAAGAAGCATGAGTTCTAAGCATCCTAAAATAAAAAGCTAATATGCAAATTGTACCCTTGACAGTATAGCTCAACAGGGAGTTCAACCAGAAGTTTGACCAGAGGGCAGGGCCGGCTCATCAACCACCATTGGTCCCTCCCCCCATCTGGCAGGACTGATGGGCCCCTATCAGGGCAGGCCAGCCGGACCCCACCCTTGTACAAATTCATGCACCAAAGAGTGGAGAAGTAAACATTCTGAAAAGACTGGATAACTATTTGCCTCAGTTTTGGTATTCTTTGAGGATCAGGTTAATTTTATTTTTATGTATTTATGTGATTTAATTACATGGGTATTGCACGAGATACATTCATTCATATATTATTTATTTATTTAAAAAGCTTACCTACTCTTATTACTTCCAAGTCTACTTAGACCACCACCTCAGATGTGTTTTCATGTAGCTGTCTACTTCCAAAATCAGGTGCAGGAACATATTTTAATTCATAGGGATCTATTGTCTCAGGTCCAGCCACCATAATGGATGATCATCAAGTTCAGTGTCTTTTTGGCAAATAGCCCAGACAGGTCAAGCTGCTCTAGACCACAGTTTCTATGAAAGTGTGCAAGACCCTTGGCTTGGGGTAAGAAGCCAAAAGGCCAGTTTTGATCTCATTTCAGGCCTAGGTTAAAACCCCAAAAATGTTTGGAATATCCATTATGTATCAAGCAAGATCAGATATACCATTCTGATATAAGCTCTATTTTCTGTTATTTATATGAGCCAACTAAAGGCCTTATAGGTAAAACCAGAACAATAAAACACTATTTCTTCACATCTTTCAAATTGGGGTGAGGAAAAGAATAGCACATGCATCTTTTTTAATTTTTAGTAAGAAAATCATGGGCTTACCAGACAATATATGGACTTTTCAAATGAAACATTTAAAGGAATGTATTTTAACACACTCATACATGAAAGTTATTTATAGTCTTCAATTTGGCCATTCTGTTCCTAAAAGCCATAAGCTCTCAACATGTAATTTTATAAAATGACTCACAACTCAGTTTTTATTTTCCTGTAAGCAAGTAGTATTGTGAGATTTTAGAGAAGATACAGCTTTAAGTGTGAAAGTGTAGCCTTACTTAATAGACTGTAGTTGCACACTTATAAGAAAATATACTATTTTATTAATATCACATGCATCGGTTCTCCTAATTAACTTAATTGCATTGTTTTTCAGGCCACTTGCAAACGAGATCATAGACTTGCAATGTTGAAAACGCGTCGCTGCTACTTACAGAAGAAAAGGGAAGAAGAATTGAAGCAATTTGATGAGAATACTAATTGGCTCCATCGTGTCGAAACCGAAATGAGACTCTTAGGTCAAAATGGTGATATTCCAAAGGTACAAAAGTGTATACCTCAGAGACATTGTGGGTTTATTTTCAAACCACTACAATTAACCAAATATCGCAATAAAGCCAGTAATTTTCCCCAGGAAATATAAATATTATGTTGATACTATATGATAGTCCTTGTATGCAATAGCATAATATATAATAAAATGTTTATACCTTAATTTAAAAATATTACTAAAAAAAATGCTAGCCCTTATCTGAGCCCTCATTGAGTCATAATTTTCTTGCTGGTGGGAGAGTATTACCTCAATGTTGATGAAAGCTCAGTATCTCCAGAGCACAATAAAACAAAGTGTGCCTGTATGTTCAGATTTATTTTGTAAGAACTGAGCTCTTTGAACTCATTGTCTTTGTTCTTGAGTAGATATTTTTCATAAGGAAACTATTGCTCCATTTCTCTGAGATTTAATTGACGAATTTTTTAACTGCACATATCACCTGCATCACTAATTGCCTACTAGATTCACCTTTACTTTCAGAAGAGTAAAGTTACTTTCAAATGTTATTCTGTTTTGTTGTTGTTAATTCTCACCTGAGGATATGTTTCCATTGATTTTTAGAGAGAATTGAAGGGAGAGAGAGAAAGAGAAACATCAATGTGAGAGAGACATATCAACTGTTTGCCTCCCTCAGGTGCCCTGACCAGAGCCCAGGATTGAACCTGCAACCAAAGTACATGCTCTTGACTGGGGATCCAACCCGTGACCCTTTGGTCAGTGGGCCAGTGTTCTAACCACTGAACAAACTGGCCAGGGCCAAAGGAACTGATTTTTATTCAAATACCTGATACTTTAAAAGAACTTCTTTACACGGTTTTTTTCTTTATCCTCACCTGAGGATATGTTTATTGATTTTAGAGAGAGGGAGGATGTGGGTGGGGAGGGGGAGAGGGAGAGAGGGGTTGGTTGCCTCACATACTAGTACATGCCCCAACCAGGATCAAACCTGCAACCTTTTGGTGTATGGGTCAACTCTTCAGCCAAGTTACTAGGCCAGGACCTTGACTCTTTTTTTTTTTTAAAGGAGGAGCGACTGTACTTTGATGTTGCTCTTCTGAAATTTTGTACTATGTATCAGCTAATTTTGGTATCTAATCCAAGACTTTTAATTTCAAGAAAAGCAGTAGACTGGAAATGTAACTTTTGAAATTCCATGCTAGGCTTGAGGCATCTAAAATTGTAGAGGCTCATCATAAAATGCAGCAGTCTCCATCAGCATACCCAAGCCAAAGTTTCAGAGAAAACAGCTGATATGTCTGGCCAAAGGAGTGTTTCATTCAGTGTGCAAGCACTGATTCTCTTGGAAAATTAACAGATGTTGAATGTTTATTATAACTTTTGGTTTTACTTATTTATAATGCATTTCATTTATTTGCTAAAGATCATGTATATCTAAAGCAGTCTTAATCTCAAGACATTCGTTGTCTAAATGACATGAAACTCAGTGTTTTTATAAGAATTAAATTTTTTTTATTTGTTTTACAATAACTAGTAGATCCTTCAGTTTTCTTTATTACTATTACTTATACTAATGAATTTCTAATAGAATATTTAGCTCTTTGAGTGAGCAAAAGCTTTTTCTTGTAGAGCTAAAAAATTGTGTGCATGTAGTAAAATGTAACATAAAAATTTATCATTTTAATCATTAGTGTATGGTTAAGTGGAATTAGTATATTCATTAAAAATTAATATAGGTAGTTTTTAAATGTTATTACTAGAGTATTTTCATCACAATAGCCTTATCTAATTTATATTATACTCATAATATATTTGCCTGTATAATCAACATTGTAATTTATGGCACAGGAAAGTACTTAAGAACTTATTTAGTATTAAAGAGGGGAAAATATTGACAAAATTACCTAGTTTGCCTTTGTTTTCTCATATTTATCATAAACTCCCAATTTAAAAAATGGTAGGGCATACTTTCTAGCATTATTATTACTAATTTGTTTTTGCCTTTTGCTCTACTTAGTAGCATTTTTGAAGTTAAAATTGTTTAGATTTAGTTCAATAAATTAAAAAATTTTAATATAGTCAAGTAGAATTTTAGTAGCAATCTGTCTTTTAAAACTCTGTTAAGCAGAACTTTGAATATGAACCTGGATCTGGTTTGTTTAAGTCCTTGTGTTTTGAAGTATGATTATAATTTGGAAAAATTAGACTGTTTTCAATCTTGCCACCCTAATTCTACTCTCAGTTCTTTTTCCTATGGCTATTTTTACTTCTAAAGTATCTATTTATAAGCCATTATTCCCTATGTAAGAAAACTGAGATGTAACTTTGTAAAAAGACTTATCCACAGTCATACAACTCTGGACACAGACCTATTACTGTGACTTTCAAAGGGGTACTCTTTTTCCCCCCTCCTGTATTATCTATCTCTTCACATCTCAAATCTATTCACTTCTATCTCTCATTGCTTCCTACCTAAGTCAGACTCCTGCTTCCATTAGTGGACTGCTGCATTTGGTCTTACTGACTTCATTCATATTACACTGCAATTCATTTTCTCAACTGCAACTGAAATGAGCTTTGTAAATGTAACTCTGATCATATCACACTGTTCAGTGCTTTTTCTCTCTAATATAATCTCTCTATTATGATTTCCTAGGCCTAGCATGACACCTGAATACCTCAAGTTTTATATATCATCTCTCATTATATTTTTCACTTCAGCCATTACTAACCTACTTGTAGTTCTTCGAATAGACAATGCTTTTTAATCATTAGTATATCAAGAAGAAAAAGACTCAAGTTGTAAACTTGGGTTTTTTTTAAAGTTGACAGGCTAACCAAGGCCCATTATTTTCTAATATAATTATACAATGAACACTTGCCTCTTTAGAAGAAAAGTGTTTTAAAATAAAGGAATAACATTAACAGGGGAAGCATTTTTTTTGTGTGAGTGTCTGTGTGGTTAAAGAGAAAAGATGGAGTATTTTAGCAAATATGTTTGCACTGTCAGGATCATTAAATTTTCTAACTGGAAAACACTAAAGAGATCATGTTGTCCTGTTCTTAATTTTAGTCAGATAAATTCATCTCCATAAAGACCTTAATGTTAACTTAAGGTTGCATTTGTTGTTATGGCTGAGCCCATCTCTAAAATCACCTGACATAGGCCAGTGATCTAATCATATCATAACTGACTCCTAAAAAGAGTTTTCTCTAAAATATTGGTTGTATGTGTTCACATATAATGATGAGTCATATAAATAAGCCCCAACTTTAATATACCTAGGACACACTAAATAACATTGTTTTCCTGCCGTGGTGTCTACTACAGGCATAGAGAGTATTTGTTTTAAAAGAAATGAAAAAAACAACTTTAAGCTTCTAGAGAATTAATGGTTACTTGCAGATTGGGAGGAACATTGAAAAGCTAAAATGGATTATGGGAATTGTCCCCAGGAGGATGTCTCCAGGCACCATCTCCCTTACTTTATGGGGTTGTTGTCTCAGCCCCCTACTTCTTTTTACTCTATTGACTAAAATTTTCCCAATTAAAGATTTCAAGAATGCTATTGTATTTTTACCAGTATTTCAGAGTAACCACTTAACTAATATTTTTCATAGTGGAGGTTTCGTAAGCCTGAGGAAAGATAAGTATTTTAGGGGGCAGGTTAGATAACACTTGGGTCTACACACATGAAGCTCAGGAAAATGCGAGCCTACAGAAGACTTTTCCACATTTTTTTCTGTAGGATGATGCTTATACCAAGATCTGGTTAAAGCAAGAAATAGTTATTACATGCTACTGTAATCTGGGGCAGTAACACTGAACTAGTTTGACACAGCCCCTGTTCTGGCGCTGAACCTTAAAGTCTAGTACAGACAGAAACTACATGAACAGTCATGGATCAATGCTATGACAAAGACTATTGGGGATGGAGAGTATCCATCTTTAAATATGATGCTCAAGGAAAGCCGCCATAAAAAAAGTGACATTTAAGGAAAAACTGGTCATAGTCATATATTTTCACAGTCTAATGAACAAGTTGGATAAACTAAGAAACTGTGACCATAATAAAATTGATTGTGAATTTCTGACCTGTTTCTGAGGAAATTTGCAATTTATCTTATTTATCTATACTAATAAAAGGTTAGTAGGCTAATTAGACTGGGAAACCTTCCTGAGGTCCATAGTGGCAGGGCTGAGGAAGAGACGATTAGGGGTGATCAGGCCAGGAGGGAAGGGCAGTTGGGGTGATCAGGCTGGCAGGGGGTTTCAGTTGGGGTCCAGCAGGCCAGAAGTGGGGTCTTTTGGGGGCGATATGGCCAGCACAGGGGCAGCAGTTGGTGACAAGTAGGCGGGGGAAGGGCGGGCAGTTGGGGGCAAACAGGCTGGCAGGCAGAGTGGATAGGGGCGATCAGGCAGGCAGGTGAGCAGTAGGAGCCAGGGGTCCCAGATTTTGAGAGGGACATCTTGTGGGATCAGGTCTAAACTGGCAGTCGGACATCCCCTGAAGGTTCACAGATTGGAGAGGGTACAGGCTGGGCTGAGGGACATTCCCCTTACCTCACCCCTGTGCACGAATTGTGTGCACCGGGCCACTGTTAAGTTATAAATACCTGTACCAGAATGCTTATTTTTCAAACTGTTTCCAAGGATACAAAAATTAAATCTGTTAGCCTTGCTTGGAGAATCATCCTGTACACCAAGGGATGGTGGTTACATTCCTAGTCAGGGCATATATGCAGGTTTTGGATTTCAATCTCAACCCTCTCACCATTCCTCCTTACCTCTCTCTCTGAAATTAATTTTTAAAAATCATTTAAAGAATTAAAACTATCAATATCAATATAAAGTAAGGTTTATTAAAATTGATTTAACTTTTACATTCTTAAAGGAATCTGATATATAGTTTACATTGTTTTCCCTAGGAACTCAGTAAAGATCTTCATTGTCATCATTTGCGCCTCCAGAACAACGATTTGAAAGCACAAATTAAACATGTGATGGATCTAGCTAGTCTTCAGGAGCAGCAACATAGGCAGACTGAGGCGTGAGTATATGTGTTGACCTGTGCTATAGACCCAAGGAACCTGAAACATAAAAGTTCACTTTTCCAAGCCAGAAAATTGAGTTTTATCTGGGACAGGATACATTATTTTTAAGTGTCTACCAGCATCAGAAAGCATACATAGGAAACATTGAGAAAGTATAATAGGTGTGATTCTTCTCCAGCTAATTTTTTTATAGTGCTTTATAGTTTTGAAAGCATTTTTAATTAATTATTTTATGTAACATATGCCATGTGCTACTGAAAAGGATACCTATATTGTGAAAAGGAATCTGTCTCTTTCTACTAGCTATCCATTTCCCGCTTAGAGGCACTCACTATTAATGCTAACTAAATATTTAAGCAGGCAGTTTTTAAGCATTTTGAACTCCAGAATAATATTGTTCTGTCATTAAAGTGAAGTTCTAAAAGTGTATATATTTTACATCAAGTATCCAGGAATGTGATGGTACAGTATCTCTTACATGCTCTCTCTACTAGCTCACTAGTAATATCATTTGAGTCTGTAATAACATTATAGTAAAAAAGTAAAACAATCTTTATTTTTGTTACTTTGGATATGTTCGTTAGGTGTCACTTACATGCTGTAGAAAAATGAGAAATTTACTTCTCTTAGGGCTTCCTGCTGGAGGTCTAGTAGTTTTCTTAAATAACTGGAAATTAACTTTTCATACTTATGATCTACGAGAAATCATAGTAAGAGAGTTATTTTTAAAAAGAAGAAAAGGGAAAGGGAAAAATTTATGGAGCTGTTCTTCTGTGAATACAAGCTCAACCTAATCTCCCCATACTGTCTATATCTGTAGATAAGCAGACATTGAATACTTATTAACTAACTCTTAATCTACCTCCAAGAGCTAGTTATAAAAAGAAGCATTGATTAATTTACTTATTACTATGTTTTAATCCTCACTAGAGGATATGTCTTTTTCTTTTCTTTTTTTCTTTTTAGAGAAAGGAAAAGGGAAGGGGAGAGAGAGAGAGAGAGAGAGAGAGAGAGAGAGAGAGAGAGAGAGAGAAACATCTCAATGGGTTGCTTCCCTCACATACCCCAACCAGGTTTCACCTCATAACCTAGGTATCAAATCTGCCCAGATCCTAAATCAAACCTGCAACTTTTTGGTGTACGGGTCGACATTCCAATCTACTAAGCCACCCAGCCAGGGCAACACATTAATTTATTTTAACCATACTGTATTTGCTATGTAAGACAAAGAGATTAGTACACTTAACATAAATTTTTGCCTCAAAATGTACAAAAGGATTTCTAATTCTTATTTAAAAGTTAGGTGACCAAAGCATTACAAACAGGCAAGATGTCATAGTAGAAAAAGTAAGAGTTGTGGCATTGGTCTTGAATTCTAGCTTACATTACCAGTATAACCTTGCCTAAATTAATTTATCTTTATTGTTAAAAGTATTACAGATGTCTCCTTTTTTTTCCCTATTGACGCCTCCCCGTAAGTCTTAGAAAACTAAGTGCAATAACTCAGGCAGGAAAATACAAACACCATATGGTCTCATATGTGGAATCTTAGAAAAACAAAACAAAATTCAAGCTCATTGATAAAGAGTACAGATTGCTGGTTGCCCTGCAGAGGCTGAAGGTGGGCATGGGCAAAAGTCATGAAGTGAGTCAAAAAGTACAAACTTCCAGGTATGAAACAAATAAGCCATTGGTATGTTATGTGCAGCATGGTGACTTTACTTAATATTACTATATTGTAGATTTGAAAATTACTAAAAGAGATCTTAAAAATTCTCATTCCAAGGAAAAAATAAATTCTGTAGCTACTTGTGATGAATGTTAATTAGATTTATTGTGGTGATCATTATGTTTTCAAAATATTAACAAATGAATGTGTACATCAATATATTCATATAAAATGCATACATATGTAACATAGGTGTGGTTTCCTATGGCCACCTCTGGGCTCCCTGTACTTAGTATGTACCAAAAACAGACTTCCTAGAAGGAAAGCAATTGTTCAGCATGAACCACCTTGTTTGTACAAACCATTTAAGCACAGTGAGACACTCTTATCAATTCTGAAAATGATGAGAACCCTGTCAAAATCCAACATTCAGTGTGCCAGCTACAGACCAACTTTGCTAGCAAGCCATTCTAAGAATAACAGGTAACTTCTCTGCACTGTGCCTGATTAGTATAGTATTCAATAAATAATTGCTTTTTATTTAACTTTCCTATAGTTCCCAATTTGGCTTAAATGAAGTACTCCCCATTCTCACCAAAATGAAAAGTATCACAGACTATCTAAATATTTAAGGCTCCCAAGTAATAAAGCAATCACTTCCTTGTGTTAAAATTAATGCCTATTCTTTTTTCACTGACCTATTTATACTTCCAACGGTTCTATTCTTCTGGATGTTATACGTCAACACCAGGACTGAATCATTTCAAGATTACTCATGTTTTTTGATGACATCTTCCTTGATTTAAAAGTTAGGAATCATTGATTGAGTGTATAAATTTGTAACTATTTAGCTGTGGCATTTATTCAGTGAGCACTTATGTGAAGGTCTAATACATAAAAAGATGCATTCACTGCTGCTCTGATTAACAACAGTAGGGAAGACTTTGAATCAGAGCCAAGAATCTATTGTGTCCCATCAATTTCCCCATACCCACCATTCTTGTCCACAACTTATTTCCTTGAATCCCCTTGGAATAGCGTTGGAAGCCATTGCCTTACCTCATGAAGAACTAACTGAAAGGAAAATTGAGCTCTGTTTTTTCGTTGTTGTTGTTTAAATGTCATATACCTAAAATGAGTCTCATCATTTGACAGAGTATATTAATTTTTCATTTTAATCCCATGATGTTTAGTGACTTACAATATCTTGGGTTTGTGAATCACATAATGCTTTGCAAAAAGCATTTATGTGTATTTAATTTATTCAGTTCTCAAAACAATTTTCTTTTATAAGTAGTGGCTGTCCAATTGATCCCCAAGTAATAAAGGAGAAACCTCAGTTGTTCCTTATCCAAGATCATATGGAAACAAATGAAGACTAAGAATATATAGCCTGGTGCTCATAACTCAGATCCAAGATCCCTTCTACTCTGTATTTAAAGTATTAAGAATATGTTGAGATAGTTGACTGAAATATTCTAAAAAAGAACATATATACAGGGAGTCATTTAAATTACCTGCTAATACTTTGGATGTTAAATAGAACTATAAAGTGTATTTAAAATTTAGTGTTTATCTCTCCTTCTTTGTCACTTTTTCTATATAGAGTATTGAATGCTTTACTTCCAACCCTGAGGAAACAGTACTGTTCGTTAAAAGAAGCTGGCCTATCAAATGCTGCCTTTGAGTCTGACTTCAAAGAGATTGAACATTTGGTGGAGAGGAAAAAAGTGGTTGTTTGGGCTGACCAAACTACTGAGCCTGATAAGCAGAGCGATCTACCAGGGGTTTCTATGGTTATGACCTTTCCACAACTTGCACCAGTTCAGACTACTACTTGTTGTGAGTATGGCTTTTATTTTATTGAGTAAACTAGTTGCCCAGTGCACAAAATTCGTGTGGGGTGTGGATGGGGAGTAGGTGTCCTTCAGCTTGGCCTGCACCCTCTTCCAATCTCGGACCCCCTCGAGGGATGTCCAACTGCCGATCCAGCAGTCAGACTTCCTTCTCGCAATCCAGGACTGCTGGCTTCTAACCACACATCTGCCTGCCTGATCTCCCCTGACCACTCTGCCTGCCAGCCTTCTCACCCTCAACTGGCCCCCCTGCCGGCCTGATCACCCCCATCTGCCTCCTCTTGCCGGCATACGCGCCCTCCCAACCCCACTGGCCTAATCACCCCCAACTGCCCACCTCTGCCATTATGCTCACCCCTAACTACCTCTGCCTCAGCCCCGCCACCATGGTTTTGTCTAGAAAGACATCCAGAAAGTCTCCCAGCCTAATTAGCATATTACCCTTTTATTAGTATAGACAATAACATTTGTAAAATGTAGTAGCCTCCTTAATATATCAATCTACAGAACAATTAAATATTTAATAGGTTTGGCTATTTTGTGAGAATCAATGGGAATATGAGCTTCAGAATGGTTTCAATGAACCAGTATCTCTCACAGATCTAAGAACAGTATGCTTAATATCCTAAATATTTCCAACAATAAAACCCTTAAGTTATTTCACCCATTTTTTGATGTATTAATTTTACTTCTTTAAAATTTAACATCTATTAAGGATTAAAGATTATGATTAAGAATATCATATTCTTTAATACATAATAAGCTGTTCTTAATATTTAATAGTATAGAATTTACTCTTTCTGTGGAAGATCACTTGCTATCTACTTCATGAGTGTGCATGGAACATTTTTAAACAAAGTTTTCACTTCACAGGTTTTCTGTGGTTTTTTTTTAATAAATTTTTATTGTTCATATTATTACAAATGTTCCTCTCCCCCCTCCATTGCTCTCCTCCACACCTATTTTCATTATTATTTAGTTTAAAATATTTTTGGATTTTGGTTATAATTTCTTCTTTGATCCATGTGGCAAATTCTAGCCTATTTTGGGGTTATTGATTTCTAGCTTCATTGAATTATATTTAGAGAAAATATCTTGTATGATTTTAATCTGTTGAAGTTGCTGGATACTTGTTCTACACCCAGTTAGCTTATAATCTTCAAATCTTATTCTTAATGACTTATGTTTTAATTTATGATCTATCAAATACTGAGGAAACCTATTGAAATTCCCTCTATTATTGTGGATTTTTCTATTTTGCATCTGTTTTCTATTGCTGCCCTAACAAATTGGCGTGAACATATCAACTATATTACCTCAAAGAGTTCTGTAGGCCAGAAGTCCAGCAGGTTTAATAGGTTAAAGTGGTAGAGCCCGATTCCTACAGAGAGCCTAAGCTGTTAGTCGGACACCTTTAGCACTGCTGTGGAGACACCACTGCTGTGCTGGCCAGCCATGAGCCAGCTGCTGGCTGAGCAGTGTTCTCCCTGTGGGATCTTACTGACCACCAGGGGCAGGTCCTACATTGAGTATCTGCCCCCTGGTGGTCAGTGCCTATCTTAGCAACCAGTCATTCTGCTGTTCATCGATTTGCATATTAGCCTTTTATTGTATAGGATAGTTGAGCTGTTCATGGTATTTACAAGGAGGATTTACAAATAACTCTTCTTTGTGGGCTCTAAATTCTAGTTCCAGTCCCCCGAACTACAAAGCTCTCAGTAATATTGCTAAGCATTTCTGGCCACCTCTTCTAGCATCAGCAAACAACCTCCAAGAGGAAAATAGCCTCCAACTACCTCCTGATGCTTGCCTATAATCCTTCAAAATTCTGTTAGTTCTCCTGTGCCTTAAGCACATGTTTTGTGTGTGTGTGTTTTATATTTTGTCCAAATATTTTAGTTGCCTTCCATAGAGAGGTTAGTCTGTTTGCCTAGATCTCCATTATTAAATTCCTTATATTTTTATAGTAAGATGATAGAGAAGTTGGATATATGTAATTTTTCTTTTTTAAAGCATTGGAACTTACCTACTTGAGATCATTGGAAAGAAAATAAGGTTTTTTTTCATGTTCTTTCATACCTTTTGGGCCTTGATTTTTCCATATAATGTATTCAAGATGTTGAAGAGGAAATATGGTTTTAACACCAAGATTGAGAAAACTGACCACCTGCTATATGATAGTCATTATTCCTCATTTAAAAATCCATATTTCATTTACAATGGAATTGTGTAGACTATACTTGTCAACAATACAACAAAACATTTATTTGGCTCTTAATTTCTTATAATAGTATTTGAAAGGGAAAGACAATTAGAATGTACATTATATAAAGATGTATTTTCTTTTTAAAAAGTGTATCAGAAGGTAGGTTTTGTTTTTCTTAGTTTCATATTTCATTCACATGATTTTATAAATTAACTATTTGCTTTGTATGTCTTGCCTAGTCCATGAATTATCTGTGTTGTCTATATTATAAGTAGAGTCAAAGGTGAATAACAGGGAAGGGGTATAAATTGAGGCAACTTATAAATATTTGTTTTTCCGAGTCTTAGAATATTTAAGTACCTCATTTTAAAATAGTGCAATGTACATTTGCATTTCTGTAGACATGAGGCAATACCCAGATAGCATACATTGCTAAAATTATACAATACTATAATGATAATCTTAACAAATTTTAGAAGTTAAATTGAAGTTATTTAACTTAAGCAAAACACGGGTCAGATGTGTCTCATTCATCTTAAGCTGACACTGTCTTTTTTCCATACTCTTATAAACAGGAAAGTCAAGTGATTTTGTTGTTAAATTTCAAAAATACTAAATGCTATGGGATTTTTATCCTCTGCGATAGGGACTTTAGAGAGTATTTACTAGCTCAACTGAATTCATTGTTTTTAAAACACACACAGTATTTTTAAAAGTCTGATGAGATTAACCATAATAAATTTACTCTGTGCTCTTAACATTTAGGTTGTTTAATAAATTTTTATTTTTATATTATGCTAATATGTATTTTTATCATGGTGCTCATGTCTAATTATTTCCTTGATAAATTCCTCTAAGTGGAATTTCTGGCTCAAGAAATACGCACATTTTTTTTAAAAGTTTATAATACATAATGCCAAGTTATACCCCTTGCCTCCATGTGATTGATTATACCAACTTGAACTCCCCTTAGCAGTTCTATAGGAAAATATTTTTTTTGTTTTTTTTTTAAGAAAATAATTTTCAAACACACTTAGAAGTCAAAAAAATACTATAATGAGCACATGTACTTATCATCTAACTTTAGGAATTCTCTAATGTCTAGTCTTGAAAATACCATCTACTTTCCTTCACTCCATATATAACAAACACACTGGAATATTTTGAAAGAAATCTCAGATACAATATAATTTCTTCCATGTACATCTTAGTGTCTCTAAAAGAAAACCCAATGCCTTCTTCATATCTCATGTCATCTAATCAGTGTTCACATTTCCCTCACTGTCTTATAAATGATTTCTTCTTACAGTTTTTTTCCTATCAATCTTCAAACAAAGCGCAAACTTTGGTTGATGTATCTATAAAATCTTACTAAATATGGAGGTCTTTCTCCCTCTTTTATCTTTGCTAATTACTCATTGATCCTTTATAGTTTAATAGTCATGTTTATTATCTTTTATATTTTTCCTTTGATCACTAATATAGTTCAAATATTTACTTTTTTTTCAGCTATTTAATGTTCTATTTTGTTTTCTGTGAGGAATTTACCCATTATTTGGAAAAAAAAATTTGGCATAATCTTTTGTAAAAGCGGTTAGTTATAAGAGCCTAAGATAGAGGTATTTATTCATTCATTCAATAGGTGTTTGCTTTGCACATTCATGGAATGGCAAGAAAGGTATGTAGCTGATATAAAGGAGAAGAGAACGCAAGTAGACAGTGATAAAATCATAGGGATGAGGAGGAAGGAAGGGAGATCACTTAACTTACAGCCTGGAGAGTCGTTGTTGAGCTTCTGAACAAAAAACTGTTCCAGACTTTGACATGATCTGAAAAAATTTCCCTTTGGCTACTGTGTTGCAAATAGATTTGTAAATCTATTCTTATGTCAAGAGCTGAACAGTTACGAGACTACTGCAATAACCCAAGTGAAAGATGGTGGTGGTTCAGACCCGGTTGGCAGCAATAGGAGTGATGAGAAGTAGTTAGATTCAAATATATTTTGAAGGTAAAGCCAACAGAATTTTCTGACAAATTGGATTTGGAATGTGAGAGAAAGAAAGGTCAAGGATGACTAAGATTTTTTAACATAGCAACTGAAAGAATCAAGTCATCTTAAAAGAGATGGGGAAGACTTCGGGTGTAACAGATTTATTGGGTGGGGGTGGTAGAAGATTAGGTGTTCATTTTGAGGCATTTTAATTTTGTCTAAGATTTATCCAGGTGGAGACATCATGTAAGCAGTTGAATAGAAGAATCTGGAGTTCAGGGGAGAAGTCTAAATTGAAATATAAATTTGAGGGTTGTTAACATTTAGATGATATTTAAAGTCATAGGGCAGGATGAGATCATCAGGGATATTAACTCTTTCCTGTAAGATGCATGTTGCAAATGTATTCTTCAAATTTATCATTACTCTTCAAGTTTATCATTTACTCTTACCTTTTTTGAGATATCCATTTTAAAAACTTTTATGTAATAAAATTGGTCTTTTTTTTTTTTCTTTCTCTACCACAAAATTTTTTTCTTCTAATTTATTTTAAAATAACAGGCAAGGCCAAAACCGGTTTGGCTCAGTGGATAGAGTGTTGGCCTTCGGACTCAAGGGTCCCGGGTTCGATTCTGGTCGAGGGCATGTACCTTGGTTGCAGGCACATCCCCAGTAGGGAGTGTGCAGGAGGCAGCTGATCGATATTTCTCTCTCATCGATGTTTCTAACTCTTTATCCCTCTCTCTTCTTCTCTGTAAAAAGTAAATAAAATATATTTTAAAAAGTAATA